TCTTCGTTTCTTTTTATTTTATTTTTTTTTTTAATTTTCTGATACGGTTATTCTTTTGTTTCTTTTTTTTTTTCAATGATATGACGTGTCAATATGTAGTAAAGTTACTCTCAGGGAGCCGCCGAAGCCAAACCATAATCGTCTTATCATAGTCAATAGAATTTAGCTATACAACGACGTATATCAAAACTTATAAAATACCCAAAACCACTGGTGGCGGCTGCCCTGACCCTGCATTTTTGCGCGATACTCTTTCGTCTCGTGATATGCGTTTAGAGCCATGCTTCTTTTATTGGTCATTGATTTAAAACATTTAAGTGTTTGTAAATCTCGCGTGTGTGTATCATATATGTATATGTGCGTGATCGACTGCGAGTCGATTTCGTTTCTTCGTCGTCGTCGTGACGTGTCCGTTGATATCGTTGAAACATAAAACAATATCATCCTCGACAAAAGTCGCGGTGATAGTCGTTATTTGAAAGCTGGCGGTGGTGCCCTTTGTCCGTTCGTTTTCGACGAGTCTTCGCTGGTCATCACTGTCACCAATTCGCCGACTGCTTTCCCTAAATCCCCTGAAAGAGAACATTTCAATTAAGACTCTCTCCTCTCCAACAGATTTTTTGCTTCTTCGTTTTCTAGGATTGTCTATTTACACGATTGAAAATCACCTCTCCACGAATACACGAGAAACATCGTTATTTCACATTTAAGCGTTTATCAATCGATCACATGCAGGCATACGTGAGTGACGGTGACAATGCCTGGCAAGTGTGTATTCGAGTCAAGAACTCGTGATCGTAGATATGTAGATAGGAGGAAAGCAACGAAGAGAAGATACAATATTAGACATATATAACATTTCATATATAGGATGAAGGATCAAGAAGACGGATACCTTAAGTATTTCTTGAAGATGTAGAAATATTTCTTTAGTATTTGATGTAGAAATTAGATGTAGAAATATTTCTTAAGTATTTCTTTCTGAAGATGTAGAAATATTATTTTAAATATTTTTATGAAAATTAAATTCATTTGCGTAATTATTAGTTTTACCATTTTTAACCCCTAACTGCTGGCATCATTAGACACAAATGAGACTTTATGTTAGTTAATTGTGAAATTTTCAATATCATTATCTCCATCAGAGAGTATATAAAATACAAAGTAGAATTAAATACTCAAAATTAGCCAACGGCTCTATTTCGAGATTGAGGAACATTTAAGCGTACCACTTTTTCTATTTCATCCTATATATGTCACACAGTTACTTCACATCAGTGTAAACGATAGTGTTAAGCAATGAACGATTCTCGATTCGACAAGATTTGAAGACGGATTTTAAAGGATAGATGTGCGTACGTGACGAATCAGCGGGAAAAGAAGCGTTGATGGTCTCACCTTACATCCATTCTGTGGCGTGAAAAAAAAACAGGAAAGCATTGTTATTTTTAAGCAGAGACGAGGTCGTGCATAAGAAACGTTCGACATAGCAGATTTCATTTTAATTACACTACATAGAAAAAGTGATCGTAACTGATCTTCGTACACGAAGAAATGGAACGAACCTGCCATATGCAAGAGATTACCCACGTTATGGGCAACGCTGTGAGAATGCGGTGGCGGTGGTGGCCTCTCTAAACTGCTCACTCTTCCTTCGTTCGAGCCTCCACCACCTACGTCCATACACCCATACCAATAAGCTTTATGCTAATCTCATCTGCGCTTTGTGAAACGTTCGTTAAATATGCAGTTAGTGTCTAATAGCGTCAGAAATACCCTGCGCCCACTTATTCGGCAAAATATGCTTGGAAGATTTTATTTGTACGCGTAGATTATGTAAATCAAATTCCGCCAACGCGGAAAATCACAATACGATCAGCAATTAGTTCACCACTATGAAATAAAGCGAAGTAAATTCTCGTTCTCGATGTTTCTACTTCTCAGTTAACATACCTGGAGAATCATGGTAGTGTCCGTTCATTTTAGCAGGCGAATCAGTTGCCAATTGAGACGCTGTTACGCTTCGCGTCTGTAAAGTACCCGTCTTCGATGGCGAGGAAGCGTTCGGCTAGAATGAAAGATAATAGATCTTAAATTTAGTCCAACAAGCATCCTGAGAACTATACTAGTTTCCGATTTGTTTGTATTTAAAATTATCCAACTAGAGACAGAATTGTCAAAGTGAACGTAAGACAATCTCATTTGTACCTCGTCCAAAAGTTGTCTGAGTCTCTGCAATTGCGCCTCCAGCTGACGATTATGATCCTCGAGTATCTGCATGCGCGCCTCCAATCTGCCCTTGTGCTGTCTCAACAATTTTGCTTCGGCGATCATATCGCAGTCAGGCTGTCGGTTGCCGTGGCCGTCTTCCGGTGTCGAGCCTGGTGTTTGCTTCGAGCGTAGTCGTTCGTATTCCGCTTGGAGGGTGGCGTTCTCCTCCTCCAGTTCGCGTATCATCGCTTCGAGTTCCTCCCTTTGCTCTGCGTCGATCGCGGCCATCACCTGCACGGGGCTCCTCGGCACGTTCACATTATCACCACCGTTCAAGCTTTGGCAATAGTGAGCGATCAACTGATGCTCGTCGTCGCTGTCCGGTGTCGAGTTGCTTCTGGTGCGCGACAGCTCGACCTCCGCCAACCGAGACGCGTACATCTCCAATCGGGAGTGCATGTCCTGGCTGAGGGAGCTGTGCTGCGGCGACGGTGCTGGACTCTCCAAAGCGTCTCCCTCCAACACGGTCTGCACCGGCAAATAACCGACCCTCGGATGCTTCTTGAAGTATCTCTTCGACTTGAATTTGTTCCGAAGCGCTCTCGTAAAGTCGCGCACGTCCTCGCCAGATGTGGTCTGCGAAGGAAGACGAGTATTGCCGTTTTACATTATGGATATAATGGATGAACCATTTCGCATGGAATAGCAGATGAGTGTAGAACGTAACTTACCGCGGTGCAGTACTCCTGCATCGGATGCGTCAACTTGTGGTTCTTCGCCTTCCGCCCCGAGAAGAAGCAGTTCTGACACATGTCGAAGTTGAAGCATTTCAAGCAACGGTACCTGGAAAATACGAAGTGGTACGGAGGATAAATTGAAATAGAAATCGTAGTTGCTATCTATTGCAAAGTCACGTGGAAGTAGGGTAGATTTTTACAGCAAGCAATAATACCTGAATCCGGTGATGGGATATTCCTTGCATATGTTACATTTCGCTTGATGCTTTGCGCTCTCCGCGGCGGAGAGTCTATGAAGCACAGGCAACCAGACCATGCTCTGAGGCTCTTGTTGCAGCCAGCTCAAAAAATGCACCGCCTCTATCTCATTCTTGTCCTTGCCAGCCTTCTCGAAGCAGCTGCGAACGCTGGGCTCGATGTTCGATCCGCCGAACGCTGCCACTTCTCCCAACTGTCTCGGCACTTGGATGCAGTCGTGCAACAATAAACCGAGCTTTCGTTGATCCACCAGTCTGTTCGGATCCGCGATCAACCGGAATAGATCTGGAATAAATAGCGTAGCTTCCAGTTACGAGCGTGTTCGGGGAAATAACGAGACGATGTAAATGCTGGGAATACTCACATCGATATTTCTCTTCCAAGTGACCCTTGCACAACAGAACCAGGCCAACTTTGAAGGACAGCACGCGAATCTGGCCGGTTCGTTGACTGAAATGAGACAACGGGAGTTTGCTGAACGTCAAAATTTCAAGAGAAATTGCCATTTTGTCGAATGGATAGCAAACGTGGGAAAAGCGTGATTTATTTAACTGCGAACGATCGTTGATCGAGCTCACCTATCGTACACGTTGAGGAGCCAGTTGATGGCCAAATCGATGCACAACGGCACGGATACTTGCGTCGGATTATCCGCCGTTATCACTTCGTACAGAGACGTCAAGACTGTCACCATGTCGGGAATGTCGATTAGTTTGTCGTTTTGCGCTCGGAGCCCGTGCGAATCGAATTGCTCTAATGCGGTGGAAAGACTCAACATGTCCACTGCAAGCAAAGACGCCAACATAACAAATGTAACAAAATTACGCATTCTCTCTCTCTCTCTCTCTCTCTCTCTCTCTTTCTCTATTGAAACATCTCAAGATAATTATTCCAGTTTCTACAAAAAAAAAATTGGAGAAACTCGAATACTCGTTACAAGATTATTTTAACTTATGATACGTGATAATGATGAGGATACAGAATATATAATCAATCAAATATTGAAATATTCTTAATAATAAATAGTAACACCTGACAAATTAAGAAATGTACAAAATTTAGCTTCTAAAATCTACCTTCAAGCTTACGATTTATTCAGTAATTGAAAATTGAACGTTAATTGGATTTAAGGAAATTTCGCCTTTGATCCCAAAGCCCGGAGCATTTTCTGAATTTCAGAATGGAGAATAACGAGAATGAACGCCACTGGTTTTGCCCAAAGCAAAACAGAGCCGCGCAAAAGCTTATATTCATCGGCAACGATGACGGCACACGTGATTAATCGAGGAAATTACGACGATTAATGAACGCGCGGGCTAATCATCGGCGAAGACCGACACAGGCTAAATACGAACGAGATCGAGGTCTCTCTCATACTCACGGCATAATCGCTTTTGAACGGTGCGCAGCTTCATCGCGGTCCTGTACGCCGAGAATCGTACTTCGTTCAGGTCCGCCAGCGAAGACATCAGCTCTATCATTTTCGGATGATCCCAATGGGTGGTCTCCGACTGATGGCTGCAAAGCGTTTCCACGGGATTAAACGGAGCCGATCCGGGATTAAGAGATTCATGCAGAATTTTCACGCAACAGCCACACGGATCCCGGAGCGAGAAGTTGGCAAAGTCGCAGGGGAGCGGAACTTTGTTTAATCTTTATTAAATCCGGCCACGATTCTTGGCTCAAGCCGCAAGCCAGGTTTTAAGAATTTATCCACGGACCGACGAATTCAAGATCATCCGGATATAAGGGCGAACCAAAATCGGCTTTAACTCTCGATTGAGGCCCGCGAGGCGTCCACGACGATTGGTCGTTGGTTTCTCGGATCTTCCTGGTTATCATAGTTATGAGAAAGTTATCTT